CGGGAGACCCCTGCCCGTCCTCTTACCAACCACGGCTTTGCAATCGGCTCGTTCAAATGTAACACATTTCCCTTTGGGAGGTTTATTCTGTGAGCCGTTGCACTTCTTAAGAAGTTTTTCTTGGAAGTTTTGTCATTTAAATTTAAAAATTAAGAACAACCCAGCTGCGTGTGCTTTCTAACATGTCCTTAAGTAAGATTTGGATGCCAGTGTCCCGGACCTGCTCCTCCTGTGGTCCTCCCGTGCTCGGTAAATGACACCACAGCTTCCCCGGGTGCTGAGCCCACACACGGGGAGGCAGCACCTTGGTCCGCTCTCAAGTTCTCTCGTGCCCCAAAGCTCCACCTTCACATTGAACCCCAAAGCCCGTCATTCGTGCCACCTCTGGCTCTGCCACTGCCCTCCCACTTCTGGCTGGATTTGTGTCGCACCCCCTTGATGGCCTTTCTTCCCCGCAGTGATCTCGCTCTTTGCTGGAATGATCCCTTTAAAACCAGAGTCCAGCCCGTCTCCCCATGCTCAGAGCCTGCTAGCAGCTTCCTACGGCAACTAGAATAAGAAGGCCTGTCCTGCTCCAGCTGCCTGTGGCCTCACCCTGCACCCTGGTCCATGCACCTGGCTTCCTGCGGTCCACACTCTCTGGGCTGCTGCTGTGCCAGGGCCTCTGCACTCACTGTTCCCTGTGGAGAACGCTCTCCCCAGATCTTTGCACGGCCTGTTCTCCGGATTCACGCAGGTGAACTAGTCCGAGGTCCCTGCTGACCCCACCGGAGAGGAAAGCCTCTCCCCACCATCCCCCAATCCAGGGTGCATCTCTCTCGGGTCCTTTGACCCATGAACCTTTTCTTCATTTTGCTGTCACATGGGACATTCGCTGATGTAACTGCTTGGTTAGGGACCCGTCTCCCCAACAAGAACGCAAGGGAGTGTGTACAGATCTCTGTCGCATCCCCCCAGCGCCCGCAATCACGGAAGAGTTATCCAGTGAATCAAGGAACACGGACAGTTGCAAAGGGAGGAGATGGCCATTTCTGGTGGCCTCTCCATGCTGCCAGGGCGCCAGGGCTCCGTGTGCAAGGCAATTTATGAGCGTTAGCTCATTGGATTTCTGTAATGGCCTTAGGAGGTAGGTACTCATAATTCCATTTTACAAAGAAGGAATCCAAGGTTCAAAATATCCAAGGGAGACCACACAGCGACGGGCAGAGCCAGTTTGGATGCCAAGTCAGCCTGCCGTCTGAGACCAAGTGCCCCCGCCCCCCGCCCCCAGTCCGTGCAACCTCCGGCTCCACCCTGCGCGCCGGCATTGCTCTGATGAGCCCCACTCTGGCCTGGCTCAAATGGGTTCTCGGTAAGCGGGGGTGGTGGAGCGCGGAGAGGGGCCCGCAGTTCCATCTGCTAATGCGTTTACCTCCAGGCTGACTGGCCTCAGCTGAGCTGGCACAGAAGCGTCTCTGCTCCAAACCCAGCCTGCGGAGTAAGATGAATCTGCTTCTTGGGAGTCATTTAGCTCACGGCTCTGTGTTCCATATTCACAATGAAATGCAAATTTCCATGTTCACGCAGGGCAACTAGTAGCATGGTACTTGGAAAAGAATTCCAGCTGGTTAAGTTTAGGGTCCTGAACAAATTCCAAACCAAGACTTTTCTGGCCAGTGCCGCAGCTTTTTCAGCTGATGGTGAATGAGATTTTTTTTTCTCTCCCGTGTGCCCTGGCCCTAGCTTCTCAATAATCTGTTCTTCCGCGCTGGCCAAGTGCCAACAGCCCTCGTTGGTTCCCCAGCCCCTGCATGAGTATTCATTTCATCCCACTTTCTAGTGAGGCTGAGAGGCCTATCAATTGGGGTGACTGGGTAAAGATGCGTGGGGATGGCCCAGCCTTGTTTTGTCCCTTCCAGGATGGTTCTTCCTCCCAAAGCCCGGACTCCTGTGTTCTCTCTGGGAGCCTGCTTAAGAACAGGGCTCTAGAAAGTTCTCCCTTCCTATTTTTAGCTTCCTCCTCGGCTTGGGATTGGTGTACATGCTCACTCTCTGGTTTTCTCGGTTCACCTCCCTCCCGAGCTTCCAGGGTCCACGTGGCCCTCTCCCCTCTCCTTTCACCCACTGTCTCACTCAACCCCTCTTGCTTTGGGATAATAGTGACACCAACACTGGACACTCACTGTGCGCCAGGCCCTGTCCTTAGTACTTAACAGGAATTAACTCACTGACTCTTCAAACAACCCTATGGGATGGACACCCCCCCACCCTTGCAAAGGAGGGGATGCAGGCTCAGAGAGGTTGACTCGCCCAAGGTCACAGAGCTAGGAAAGTGGAGAAGCTGGGACGTGGCCTGGCTTAACTGGGCTGCTATTCTGCTGCCTGGCATTTAGTATTAACAGCAGGGACTTTGGGGGCAAAACAGGCCTAGGTGTACCTGTTGGCCCTGCCCTTGCTAAGGAACCCTAGGCCAGTCAGTCCATCTCCCCGAGTCTCTCTTTTCCCATCCGTAAAACGGGCATGCACTTGTTCCTGACTCACTGGATAACTTTTTATTATTATTTTTTTTTATTATTGATTATTTTTATTTTTGTTTTTATTTTTTGCGGTACGTGGGCCTCTCACTGTCGTGGCCTCTCCCGTTGCGGAGCACAGGCTCCGGACGCGCAGGCCCAGCGGCCATGGCTCACGGGCCCAGCCGCTCCGCGGCATGTGGGATCTTCCCGAACTGGGGCACAAACCTGTGTCCCCTGCATCGGCAGGCGGACTCTCAACCACTGTGCCACCAGGGAAGCCCTGGATAACTTTAAAAGATGAAATGTGAAGACCTGAAGCAAGCTTCAGTCCTGTGCACACTGATGGACCCTCTGCAGTGCCACCACCCTTTCCCTGGGCTGCGGGCAAGGAGGGGGACCTTTGGGGAGGGAGGCAGCCACAGTTCCAGATCTGGGGTCCTAGACTGATGGACTCCTCCTGGATCTCAGGCCAGCCCACCCAACCTCGCCCCAGAAGGCCCTTCATGTCCCTCCCTCCATGTGATCATCTGTCTCCAAGACGGTTCCAGCTTTGCGAGGGAAGCTGGACCCCTCAAGCCCCAAAGGCAGCTCATCGCAAGGAGAAAAAGTAATTTTAGAGAAGCAGGGGGCTTTGGTTGTTTAATTGCTTCTCCTTCTGCAGGCACTCACAACACTCAACTCACACACACACACACACACACACACACACACACACACACACACAAGCGCGCGCGCTGCTGCCCGCTCCCCTTTCCCTGGTAGATACACTGTAGGGGGGCAGCCACCACCAAAGTCAACCCTCCACCCCGAAAGGAACCAAAGTCCGTTCAGATAACAAACTCCAACACGTAGTCCAAAAGGAAGTAACAAAACAAAACAAAAATCCCAAACTTTACTTGCATTTAGCCATTAATAAATAATTTACAGTATGTACACGCGGTGACACTCCACACAGGTCGCAGACACGGGACACAGTGAGGGGCCCCCACTTCCAAGCAGAACGTGATCAAACACAACCAAAATAAAGTGCTTCACTTTTTACTTCCAACATAGGGACCATCTAAAAACCAGCAGGGAGGGGCCGGGGCTGCGCCTCCCACCCACCTGCCCGCCTAGCCCACGGCTTGGCAGAGAGAGGGAACCTCTCGGAGGGGGAGGCAGGGACCAGTCCGCAGCCTCCCGGGCCAGTGTATGAGAGGTCCCTGGGCAACAGCAGGGGGGCGGTCGGGGACAGTGGGGCCTGCGGGGCTTCTGGGAGGATCGCCCTCCGGGGCACGGCCACGCCTTTAGGAGTGGGGACCAGCACCGGGGTTCTCTGAGACAGCAGCAGAGGTGGGACTGGTTCGGGGCTCCTCGGATGGGCAGCTTGGCTGACGTGAGGTGGGAAAGTCTCCTGGCTGTGTGGCCACGGGGCTTAAGAGAAAGGCCTAGAAGGAGGAGACCCTGCCAGGGATGCTAAGGGCTGAGACACCTTCCAGGCCCTGCTCCTTTCCCCAGAATGCAGACCTGGTGGACAGGGCAGGGAGCAAGGATCTGGGGGGCAGGTTAGGAGAAAGCAAAGGATCAGGGCAGGCCAGCTGGCCCCATCCGCTGAGTCTCCAGCCCGCACCCTGCGGCCTCAGTTCCCCTGCTCACCGCCTCTTGCCACCTGCTGGGGAGGAAGGAACAGAAATCAAGGGGCTAGCTCTCTGTTTAGACATTTAGAAGCAAAGACTCGACTTCCAAAGAACAGTGGGGACCGAGGGACAGGAGGATGGGCAGTGGAGGAAGGGGCCAGAACAGGCGCTGCTCAGAGCACGTGCCGATGACATGTGTCGTCCCCCACCTGCGGGGCCTGGTAACTGGGGCCTGAGCCTGTGCCCAGCCAGGGCACACACGGTGGTCTCTCCTTGGCTCGCAGGGAGGCCACAGGCGGGAAGGCACCAGGAGGGCACAACTTTTTGGCCAAAGGGTTACATTAGTTTTCTAAAGATGCCAAGCAGCACCCCGGGGGTATCCTAAAGCCCAAGAGGAAAGGATGCCCTGCCCAGGGGTCCAGCCTCGAGGCTACCCCCGCACCCCCGGCCTTGTGTGTGCGAGTGTGTACGAGTGTGTGTGCGTGGGGTGGGCGCAGGTGGCCCGGGATGCGCGTGCAGCAGTCAGCCGGGCCTGTTTCAGTGCATTGCAGGGGTGAGGGCAGGTCGTCTCTGCCCACGCCCAGTGTCTCTGTTGAGGTGAGGGCTTAGGCCTGAGGGGCTCTGATTTGCACATTCACACGGCGGGGCGGGCGGAGAGGGGCAGCTCTCCCTCTGCACAGCTCTATGTCACAAACGTCACAGCACTGGTCACCACAACCTTGTCTCGGGCCCCGGGGGAGGGGAGGGGACGTCCCACGCCCCCAGCCCTTGCCAGCAGGCAGCCCAAGGCGGCGCGGAGGTACGTGGCCGCTGGGGCTCCTGACCCCTGCGGGGACTGCGGGGCCACCAGGAGGCCACCACCGGCCCTCGTGCAGCCGCCGACCAGTTCGGGGACGCCTCGCTCTCGGTCCTAGGTGGCCTCCAGCAGCACAGGAAGCAGGGGCAGGAGTAGAAGGCTGCCGAGGAGGGGCCAGGGGGCCGGAGGCAGCCCTGCGGCGGCCGCCCGGCCCGGCGGCTCCCGAGTCCTCTCGTACAGGTGCAGCTTGTCCTTGTTGGAGTGGAGCATCTTGACGTCCTCCAGGGCGTAGTAGGCGGCCAGCGTGAAGTTCACGTCTCCTGTGGTGAGCAGGTCGAAGACGCAGGCCTGGTAGTAGAGGTCCTCCACGGGCAGCTTCTCCTTGCACTTGGCCACGGCCGTCTCGTACGGGAAGGTGTCGGGGGCTGAGGGGGCGGGGCTGGCGGCTGGTAGCCTGTGGGCGCCGGGGCTCTCGGCGCCGGCTCGGAAGGCCTGGAAGTCGATCTGCTGGTTGAGTGGGCAGCCCCTCAGGCAGAGGTAGAGGCCCTGGCTGTCCCGGTCTTCCACGGCGTTGACTACCTCCTCGGGCATGCGGACCGCGAAAGTCAGGTAGCCACCCACCTGGCGGACCACGATGGTGGTGCCGATGTACTTGGCCTGGATCTCCACGTGCTGGCCCGACACCTTCTCGGTGATCTTCAGGCTGTTGGCCCCGTGCTTGTCGCCGCCGTTCTTGGAGCCGTCGGCGAAGGCGGCAGGGAGCTCGTCCATCTCGGCCTGGTACACCTTCTGGTCCACGCACTCCTGGAAGTTCTTGAAGATAATGGTGAGCTGTGGGGCAAGGGGGCAAAGAGAGGGGGTGAGGCAGTGCCGGGAAATGTGGAGGGGACAAGGCCCAGCCCCAGACTTACAATGCTCTGGACTGAGCGGAGGGATGGCAAGAGCCCCCAGGATGTCCCAGACCGCCCCTTCCCCACTGTGGTCACTGTGCAGTGCCACCTGCCCTATTACGCGTTTAATATTTTTCTTTAAAACAATTTGCATTTTTGCTTAAAAACTTTTTTGACTTAGAAAGGGAACTTTATACTCCTTTCCTAAATAGAAAACCAGCTCATTTACTATATACAGAGAGGAACCATAAAAAGAAAAGCATGGCTAACTAAAAATGAAAGGTCGTTATCCACTGAGGTAGGCTGAAGAATGGCCTCCAAGAGATCAGGCGCTAATCCCTGGAACCTGTAAATGTTACCTTATATGACAAATGGGAGCTTGCCGTTGAGATTAGGTTAAGGATACTGAGGTGGAGAAATTATCCTGGCGGGCCCTAAATGTAATCACATGTGTCCTCATAAGACGGAGGCAGAAGAGAAGGCGGGGTTTCCAGAGGCAGAGACCACAGGGCTGTGGCCACAAGTTGAAGGATGCTGGCCACCAGCAGAGGCCTGGAAGAAGCAACGAACAGACTCTCCCCTGAAGCCTCCAGAAGGATTGGTCCTGCTGACACCTTGATGCTAGCCCCTTAAGACTCATTTCAGACTTTTCGCCTTCAGAGGTATGAGAAGAAATTTCTATTTGTTTGAATCACTTAGTTTGTGGTACTTGTTACAGCAGCAATAGGAAACGAATATGGACCACAACCAAAGGACCATAAGCCACAGGCTGAACATAACAGCAGGTAGAAGAGACTGATGTTCAAAGAAAGAACGAGCAGGCAAAATCCATGCAGGCAGGCAGGCAGAGGTCAGCAGAGGCCACCGCAGCAGGGCTGCCCTGAGGGGTCTCCCAGCCAGGCCTTGGCAGTAGCAGGAGGAAGAGGGAGGGGAGGGAGGTGCCGGTCAGCAAAAGGGAGACGGGGGCTCCAGATTAACGGGCAGCCCTGGCCAGGGGAGCAGCGAGGCACATTTCTGCTGGAGCCTGCAGCCGGGGTGAGGGGTTGCGCTGAGCTACTGGAGAAGCAGAGGGCTAAGCGGCTCCATCACTAACCGTCCTCCTGAGAACCACAGACACAGGCACACTCGCTGCATTTATTACTTCTGGGCCTGTGTGGCGCTGCAGGGAAGGTGACATTACCTCGGATTTATAGATGAGGAAATTCGGGTTCAGAAAGTAAAGTGACTTGCCCAAGGTCACACAGCCAGCAAGAGGCAGAGCTGGCATTAAGCTCTTGGTTTCCAGTCCCTGGGCATTTTTTGCCAAAAAGTCTTAGGGTGGGAGGCCTGAGAGAAGGACAAGAGACCAACAGTCCGGGGAGTGATGTGTTTCCCCTTGTCACCCTGGGTGAGACGTCTGGCTGTTTTTTCCTCCGTAACCCTAACCAGGAAGATGGGGTGGTGACATGAGTGAAACTGGGAAACTCGCCCCCGCCCCGTTCCTGCTGGACTCTCAGCCTGAAGCTAGGGAGGGAGGCGGGGCGATGGGGGCAATATGGTGCCCAGGCCTCTTGGGACGTCCCGCTAAAAGCATCCCCCTCCGGCCCGGCCCCAACCTCTTCACGGCCCCCAGCCACCATTCCCAGGCCCTGTCCCCTCATCCCCGCCACCAAGCCTGGAGAAGAAAGGCCTCACCAGCTGGGGTGCCACACCTCCTCATAACGTCTGTAGGCCGAAGGGGCTCTAGCAAAGGGCGGGGGGCTGCTGACGACATGTATGGTCGGCCGTGGCTGAATTCTCTGCCTGGGCACCCCAGGGGGACGTGGCAGCTGAGGGGCACGAAGATGGCCTGGACAGCTCTCGGGGTTGAGGGCAATGCGGCAAAGCACTAGGGGAATTTCTGGCCGAACAGTGGGTGTATGACAAAGGCGAGGCCCCAGACTTGCTAGAAACCAAAGAGGAAACCCAAAGCAGCTCTGATGGGGAAGGGAAGGCGGGGAGAGCTGCCACAGGACCTCAGCTCAGGCAGGAGGGTCAGGGAGAGGCCGGCCAAGACAGGCGGAGGGGGAGGTGCCGGTGGGGCACAGGCCAGGGAGTGTGTCTGGCTGCAGTTCCGGGGTGGCTGGGGACACAGCCAGGAGCGGGAAGCCGGCAGGGAGTGGCCTTGGCTGGGGGCCCCAGGAGCAGGTGCTGAGACGCCTGAAGACTGGAGAGGGGCAGCCTAGGGGCTGCAGAAAGTTCTAGGCTGAGCAAACCCACAAAGTAGCAAGAGCTGGGCTGGAGGTGTCGCCGGCTCTGTTTCACGGCTGCTCTGTGCGTCCCCTCACGCCAGTATAAAGCTCAGGGGTGACCAGGCAGGGAGTGTACGAGGGGCCCTCAGAGGGAACGCAGAGAAGACCCCAGCCCTTCTCACCCCGTTCCTGAGAGATGTAAGGATGAGAGGAAGTCCGAGAGGGGCAGGCCACAGTATGACTTTTGGGAACTCCAGGGCACCTGGGCCTTGCTTGGTCCCTTCCTCCGTCAGAAACATTAAAAACTACATTTGTGGCTGAGCTTGGGATTGACATATACATGCTACTATATATAAAACAGATGACTAATAAGGACCTACTGTGTAGCACAGGAAACTCAATACTCTGTAATGACCTATATGGAAAAAGAATCCAAAAAAGAGTGGATATATGTATAACTGACTCACTTTGCTGTACACCTGAACCTAACAAAACATTGTAAATCAACTATACGCCAGCAAAATTCTTTAAAAAAAAAGACGCTACATTTTGGGACTGCATTGGTGTAAAGACTAATATAGTCTAGGTTGGATCATGTTGGTTTTTTCCTTCTGACTTTAAAAGGAAGGAAAGCCTTCTCGTGGCCCTAGAAGTCTTGGGGCCAAGGCACCGCACCTGTGGGGCCTGACGGTTGTGCAGGGGGCACTCTGCGCGGTCTTCATAGGACACGAGGAGGGGCTGGTGCTCTGAGGTCGAGAGCCGGAGGCCCTGCCAGAGGCCACAGCGGGCTACTGCGGGAGGCCCGCGTGCACAGCTCCCTGAGCCCGGGGCTCTGCTTCCCCGTCTCCTCCCTGGAGGTCACAGGCTGGTCCCGGGACGAGGCTCTTCTGCTTCGCTGTGGGATGTCCAGGGTGGCTGCAGCCCCTCCATCCTGCCCCTAGCCCCACGCATCATCGAACCCCACGAAACTGCCGCTCCTTCACTGCCCAGACCTATGAACGTGGCGACTTCACAGGGATCCACCTCCTGCTGCTTCCTGTCTCCATCCTAGGCTCCTGCCCTGATGAGGCTGCCTGCCTGCCTGCCTGCCTGCCTGCCTGCCTGCCTGCGGGGGGCCGGGAGGTGGGCCAGCCGGGGTGGTCTGGGCAGTGGGTGGTCCTGCCATGGGGGGAGGGGCATGCAACGAGGGGCTCTGGTGTCCCTGCCTGGTGTGCAGGGCCACACAGACACTGGGGGTGGGGGAGTAGGGGGGTGGCTTTCCCAGTGCTATCAGCCTCCCTGGAACAGGAAAGGCTGGTTTCGCTCTAACCGCCATCTCTTGCGGAGACAGTCTCCTGGAAGGCTGACAGGCTGCTTGACTCTTCCTGGCACCGGTGCCAGGGACTCAACCACAAGGAACAGCATGAAGGGGGCCTGTCGAAAGCCAGGCGGCTCACTGCCCACACAGCCACTGGCGTGGCTGCCGCTCCCGCCTCGGCTGCCCCCCTTCCCCGAGGGGCTCGCGCCCTCTCCACCGCTGGGCACAGGGCAGAGCCCGAGTGTCATCAGAACTATTCATGGAGCGCCAACTGTGTGCCAGGCCTGGGGCTGGGGGCTGTGTCCACATGAGGGGAGGAAACAGCCCAAGACCCCTGTCCTCACGGTGCTCACACTGCGGGGGTGGAAGGTGATGTCGCAGACTAAGCGGATGAAGGATGCTGTGTGATGGAATGGAAGTGCAACGGGGAACATGCAAGGGGGCCGCCGTGGGGGGAGGCACCGAGATCCGAGCTCCTCTCCTGCCTGAGGCTCAAAACGGGGTGCCACCAGCGCTGCCAGAAAGAGGAAGACAGAGCAGGGGGTGGGCATGGGAGGCAGTCCCACGGGAACAGGAAGTTGAAATGTCAGCTTGGGCTGGAAAACACTAGATCTCGACCCTCCACAAGAACAGAGGGCTAGGCAGGGTTGGACAATGAGAATACCGTGCTCCTGGGCAAGGCACCACGGCTGAGGGGATGGGAAATCACAAAAGCCCAGGTTCTACCACCTCGGGGATAAGAGCCCACACTCTGCCTGGCTCTGCTGCTGCCCCCTCCCGTCCTGTCCTTCGGGGGCAAGCTCAGGGCAAGGGCAGGCGGGAGGCCTTCCCCAGTGCTCTGTGCAGAGCCAGTCCCCCGGCCCAAGACCCTCAGCATCCTGCTGCCCCAGCACCCATTACCAGGATCCTGTGGCTATCTTTGTGCTCCACTATTAGCCTGGGAGCTGCTGAGATGGAGGCGTCGCCAAGCACAGAGGCTGGCACAGAAGAGCTGTTTGGTCAATGTTTTCTGAATCAGCGAAGGAACATACACACCTGAGTAATGGAGGCCCAAGAGAACGGGCAGAGGCAGGCCGAGGGCACTGGGGAAACGGCCACCCATGTCTCTCACCCGGGTACCATGAGACCCCAGTCGGCGCTGAGGCCTGAGACTGGCTTGGCCACAGACACGGAGCCTGTCACTGCCTGGCCTCCAGCAGAGCCTTGTGCTGCCTCCTGGCTGATGGGGAGATAAGAGAAGGCTGCTAAAACTCTTCACCTGCTGGGAAGATCAAGGTGGCCCTAGGTCACCGCGGAAATGGGCTGGCTTGATCAAGGAGCTCTGCTGCAGAGCCCCAGACTCTTCTGGAAGCTTCATGCTGGGACAGGAAGGGAGGCACTCCCATGCCTACGTGGGCAGTTCTGCTGGCCACAGTGCCCAGCAGTGAGCCTGAAACAGAGTGAGCATTTGAAAAATGTGGGCTAAGTGAATGAATGGAATACAAGAACAAATGAATGAATGAATGAATGAATGAATAAGCCATTTGGTTTGTGGATGGTCTCGCTGAGCTCAGGGTCCCACTGTATGCCGATAGAGAGCCGAGGGTGGTATCCAGGGGTTCTAAGCCCAGGCACCTCACCCCGGCCTGCAGGACCCACTAGTATGTGACCCAAAGGCTCCTTCTCTAGCTTTCACCCCCAGTCAAAGGGGCCAGCAAGCCCCCCTGGCTGGTCACTAACCACAATTCCTCCCAGGTCTGTTATCACATCTGATGCTTACACCACCCTTGTCAGGAGGGGTAGGCCTCCTGAGGTCCGCAGACCCCTCACACCCTCAGACCTCCTGTGCGCCCCCCTGCCAGCTTGGGACAGGGAGGCGGGGTCCCCTTCCACAGTGTGTTTGCTGCTGAATTTAGAAGCCGCAGCCTCAGGCTCCAGGCATTCATTTATCTTGGCTCTAGGGAGGGAGGCGGGTAGATGAAGGCGGTCGCTGCAGAGAAGGTGGCCGGTACCTTGATTCGGGCCCCCCTTAGTCTGTGGAGGGCTGAGAGGGGGCAGGGGGAGGAGGGAGCCCTGGCCGCAATTTGCTGCCCACTAGGCTTCATGGCCTAGTGCCAAAGGCCTGTAAGAGCATCCATGGGGCTAAGGCCTGCTTGTTTCCTACCCAGCAGCTGGTCCCAGGAAGAGACCCCTGTGGGCATGCAAGGGCCACCGGAGCAGAGGGAGGTGGCAGGAATTTTCCTGGCTGCCAGGTCACCTCAGTGTCCTCCTCTGGGGCATGGAGGGACGAGAAGGAACAGAAACGCCCTTGTGGGCCAGCCTGGCACTGCCCCACACATTGCCTTGCAACGTGCTCTTCCTGGGAAAACAGACCAGCTGCCAAACCGGAAACTCCAGGGGCTCTGGTGGCCCAGGCCCCAGGGAGGTAGAGTTGTCCCCATGGCCGGGACTCTGATCATCCACCAGCCCCCTGGACCTGAGACCACGTTCTCCGGCTGAGTCTGAATGTTAGGTCACGGGAGACCCTCCTGGAAAACTGGGAGGGAGAATCTGGAGTGGACAGGAATGTCCCATTGCCTGGGCCACGGGCCGCATCATGGCTGCCTCTGGCTGTGGCTCTGTGAGCAGGACTTGAGTCCTGCCACCCAGACACTGAAGCCTCCTTGGGTCAGAAGATGATTGGCTCTCGGTGGCCTCCGGGGCTCCAGATGGGAACCTCCTCTCCTGGCAGTGAGAACACGCTGGGCTCTGGAGTCCCCTGGCTCCGGTGAAATCCCAGCTTGGCTCCCAGCCGAATGCACTTTGGGTGGGGAGGCCACTTTCCCTCTTAGAGCCTCAGGTTCTGGATGCATTAAATGGAGCTGCCCTGGACAGACAGGCTGCATGATTGGCCCTGGGGGTGCTCAGTGGGCTGATGCCCTGTCCTCACTTGTTCCATCTTCCCTGTGCCCAGACACCACGGCCCTCTCTGCTCTGAGGCTGCAGCCTTACTGTGTCGGTGTGGGACAGAGACAAAGGGCAGGATGGTACCCTGCAGCCCCGACCGGCCCCAGCAGCATCCAGCAGCCGTGGCCTCCAACCAGCGTCCTCAACTCCCTCCATGCCCCAGAATCACTGGGGGCTTTAAAGAAAGAACACATCTGACCCCCACCCAGAGATGTGGTGTCAGAGAGGCCTGGGGGGCCCAGAACCACTATCATCTAAAATCCACTTGGTTCGTAAATGTGCAGCCACAATGAGAACCCCTGGGCAGGACCGTCACCTCCAGGAGGCTGTTGGGTCCGCTTGTCTGGGGCGGGGTTTGACTCCCACTGGACAGTAAGCTCCGTGATGATAACGACAGAAACATACCTGCATATCGACTCCTCTTTATTGGGATTTGACACTGGAGTTCTACGAAAATATGGTTTGGGGCAAGAAAAGTCTATCCCAGAAGTTTGAAACTGAATGCTCTGGGAGTGTTTTTAAACTTTCTGGACTATTAACCCTAGTAAGAAATCCATCTTATTTACAGCTAGACCCAATGTGCACGCACATGAACAAACGCACACAACAGAAACTAAGTTTCCTAAACGTTTACTCTTGCACTTGGAAAGCATTCACAAACTGCCTTAATATAGGCTAGGTTTGACTAACCTACCCTGCGCCCCCCAACCCAGACTCACCCCCAAACTATGCCTGTGTGCTAGCTTCTGACGCCAGAAGGCTGATTTCAAAGACCCCTAGTGGACGGTGTACAGCAGCAGTTTGAGAAACACCGCACTCTGGGCAAAGGGCCGAGGTGGCTCCAGGGTTGTTCACCTGACGACAAAGAACGTGCAGAACATTCCTTCCTAAATAATTTGCTCAGTTACCGACGAGAGGAACATGGCGGGTCAGGGGGCGTCTGGGTCGGGGGGAGGAAAGTCCGGGCCCTCCTGACGGCAGGGCCTGGTGCCGTGACCCGCCTCACCACCCCCGGCCCCCCTCCCCCGTACCTTGCTGGTGGCGGTGGCGGCTGAGCCAGGCAGCACCGGTGTGTTGGTGACCTGCACGTTTAGGTAATTATTGTCGATGAGCGGCCAGGCGCCCTGCACCTTGCAGGTCTGGAAGCGGTCTGTGAAAGTCCGGAGGTGCGGGTCCCCGAAGAGGCCGCAGTGCGTGTAGTTGGGGGCGGCCGCGCGATTGTGGAAGCTCTTCTCGTAGTGGCAGATCTCGGGGCTGTCCGAGCGCTCCTGGCTGTCCCCCGGTGGCGGTGGCAGCGTGCGCAGGTGCGGCTGCGACGTGGGGCCATCCTTGGAGCAGTTGTGCTGGCTCATGAGGTCCTCGATGCCATGGACGGCAGAGTGGTAGGCCAGGTCCCCCCGGCAGGTGCGGGCCGTGTGCCGCGTGCACAGTGCGTAGGTGCGTAGCGCAGCGCAGAACTCGGGGGCGTCGTCCGGGGCCGGCGAGTGGCTGCCCGCTGTGGCGCTCCAGAACTCAGAGTTGCACTTGAGGATCTTGCACGAGGAGGTGGCTGCGGATACAGGAAGGGAGGCGCTGTCAAGTTGGGAGTGGTGAGCCCAGGCCTCCTCCACCCCCGTGGGCCAGGGCTGCGGGGCACGTGCAAGGGACAAAGGACGCCTCATCACAGGCGTTGGAAGAGTTCCTGCAGGCGCGGAACCTGCCTTTCCCACTTTCTCGATTCTTCTGCGCAGCCGTAATGACCCTGAGTGGCTAGGCCTGCGGACTTGCAGGCTGAAAGGCCTGGCGGAGAACTACCAGCAGCCCCCGCAGCCCCCCCGCCACCACCCGCCGCAAGCTCTCCGCCCACCCTTGGGCCTTTGGCCTCTGTTGACACTTTCACAACTACCGCCAAGAATTTTGGCACAGCAAAAGAAATCTGGCAGGGAATTAAGCCCCACTATTCAGTATGTGTTCTCATCTCTGCCACTGTGTGACCTTGTACAAATCATTTAACTTCTCTGTGCCTCATTTTACTTACCTAGAAAATGGGGTAATATAGTATCTACCCTATGAGGTTGCTGAAAGTGTTAAAGGACTTATCCCGGAACCGGGCACAGAGCAGAAGCTCAATGAATGTTGGCTAGTGTGATCATTATATTAGCCCTGGTCACAGAGGGCCTGGTTCTGTCACTTCGTCTGCAGATGAAGGGCAGCTTCCCTCTTGGTCTCCGTAGCTCCATCCCCCATTATCCTGCTCAGGAGAGCAAGCTGGGAGGCAACTGAGTGGCAACCTTGGATCTGCTCTAATTCATGCTTTTTTTTTTTTTTTTTTTAAGGTCACTTTAAGCGTTGAGACCTTAGTGATAATTAGCTACAGATAATTATCATGCCTGAGAACTGTGACCTCAACACACCTGCATCTTGTACCTAGACACATAGAATCTGCCCTTTCCCGGCCTCCTGGATTCCTCTGCACGGCCCCGTAGTGACCAGAAGTGGCAGCAGGAGGGATGTTTCTACACAGGCTTCCAGGTGCAAAGCGGCCAGCAGACCAGCTGCGAGGTGCAGCTTTTGGTGTCTCAGCCCAATCAACAGAGGGGAAGGTGGCGCTTGCTCCAGCCACTCCTGGCTCGGCCACTAATCTGGCTCTTAACCTTGGAAAAGTCAGTTTACTTCTCTGTTACTGGCTTTTTACCTATAAAATCAAGTTGTGCCTGAAAGCAGGGACAGAAGTATACGAGGGCAGGTTAGCAAAAGAACCATCCAGGCAGCTGCCCTGTGTGGCCCTGGTCTGTGCTGCCAGACCCCGTACCTGGATGCCTGGGCCACCGAGCTCAGGGAGCTCTCGCACCTCTGCAGGTGCGGGCGCTGTTCTCCTGGAGCTGATGTGACTTGCCCCAAGTATATCTGGTAAACACGGTGCTTGTCCTAAAATTCAGGCTTTTCCCCTAACTTGACCTTATTTGTCACACCTCCGGGAAACAAGGTCATTTCAGGAGGTATCTGGGTGAGCATTTTTCTTTCCACTTGAGAAGTCACATATTTAAATATGTATTAGGAAAAATAAAACAGATTTGATAGAAGAGCTACAGATTTCCCATTTTAAGTTGAAGCTGACCTAAAGAAGCAGATCTGGTAAATGATAGGTGGTGACCGCTGTTTAGAGGTGCCCGTCCAGGGAGACCCCCTGTGTGGTCGCCCTCCCACAGAGCCATGTTCCTGGCTCAGGTCTCCTTTGAAAGGCGGCTAGGAGATTCTCTGGCCTCGCCATCTTCATGATTTCCCAACCTGCAGAAGATGCCCAAGGGCCCAACATCCCTGTGGGTGGCAAATGCTACTGTGGCCTGAGTGGGAGATGGTAAAGGGGGCCTCGAGGTGGGGGTGTGTGTGGAAAGGATGCCATGGAGAACAAGCAGTGTGGAGGAACACAGGTCAGGGGAACTGGCTGCTGCAGCTGCCAACCCTCCACCTCTGGTCTATGGCCTCCCCGTAATGCCCACTCCGGTAGCCTCGGTGATTACAGGTGAGCTGACCTGCCATTCTGCTTTCTCAGAATTCTGGAGGTAGGCATCTCAGAGGAAACTAGCCCAAAGGGACTCAGGCCTCGTGCTGAGTGGCAGTTACCTTGGCTCTGCCCACTGCCCACTGGCCCACCAGCCCTGGGTCCCCCTCTGGCCCTCACCTTGCCCAAAGGACAGAAAAGACAGTGCCCGTCCCTTTACAGCCAGACCACTGCAGCACACGCAGGGCTGTGCTGGCCTCAGTTCTCCACCAGAGCCAAGCTGGGGTGGCACAGACTGAAGTCCCAGCTAACTCTGTTCTAGGCTCAGTGGCCTGGGCCTTGCAGGCCTCACCTCATTCGGGGCCCCGGGCAGCCTCACAGGTGGGCACTACAGCATCCCTGCCTCCCAGAGAGCAGAGCCAGGCTCATCGAGGCTGACTTTCTTGCCTGAGGTTCCACTGTGAGGAGGAAGCAGGATGTGAATCCAGCTCCTCAGACCTGAGAGCCCAGGCCCTTGGCAATGCCAAGACCTCGGACAACCTTGGTGCATTCACGATTCCCTCCACCGGCTGCTGGGTGGTTCAAGGGCACACTCCGCCACAGGTGGGCTTCAGCCTCTCCCTGAGGACCCCTGCTGCGACGCTGAGAGACCACCACCCGCCAGGAGGCCCATGGTCCACACGCTCCGCGTTGTTGCCTCCACCGACTAGTTTCCAGGGCCTGTTTCTCAGGGTGCAGCCAGGGGTGGGCAGGGGCTCGAAGGCTGGGGTCGGGATGCTGCCCAGGGCAGGGCCAACCTGCACACAGTGTGGGACGCGTTTGGGGCGTCCCATTCCCGACCCCTGTCATGCGTGGCTCTATTCCCCCAAACGGGCCTGCACAGCCTTGACACCTGGGCTCAGAGCAGTGTCTCAGCTAAAGAGCTCTCTGGTGTGTCTGGAATGCATGACCGAAATCCCACTCCGGTGCCCTCAGAGAGTCCCTGAAGTGCTCTGGGGTCATCGAGTGGATCTGTTCAGAGCCGCGCTCCTCGAATGTGCCCACCAACCACCGGGCTCTGCCTCCGCCGGGCCCAGTGGGCCTGAGATCTGCATCTCTGTCAGGTGCTCTGGGGGCCATTTTCTCTTCAACAGCCAGTCACAGAGGGGCCAAGTTGCCCGTCACCCCCCCCCCGGCCCCCCCGCAGGTCTGGAAGGTGTGAACGGGGCATCTTCTCGGGGGTGGGGGGCGGGGGGGCTGCAGGCAGAGGGGGCAGTGAGGAGACCGGCCTCCCGAGGAGCAAGCCCAGCTGCGACCCAGCTGCCGACACCGAGCAGCCCGGGGCACTCAGGCTGTCAGCGCTCGGAGACAAGGCCTTTCATCTCTCCGTTCACCGTGGCTCCGCCCCTTGCTCCCTCCCCGCCTCCTGAGCCACAGGTAGCAACCGGCCACCCCCAGAGGGCGCATGGCAGCTCCGCCCACCACCCGCAGGCGGCGACAGGGGGTGCTCTCCCGCTGCCCTCGCACCCAGGGCCTCCCTCCGGCCTCCATCCCGGCGGGGCGGTGGCGGTAGAGGGGCTAAGCTTGAAGTCCTGCCAATCCCATTTCTCAACCCTCTGGAGAACATTCTCGATGCGATCGTCCAGGGCTGGGCCAAAAGTGGGGAAATCTGAAGGCGACGCTGGTCGCGTGGGATGGCGGGCAGAGTGTGTGCCGGAGGGAGGGTGTCTGGTCCAAAGTCCCACTCTGTCCCCTACGAGTAGCTGCGGGAGTTGGACTTGACCTCAGTTTCCTTATCTGTGAAAGAAGCTGCTGAGGCTTGAGGAGATGTACTTGGCATGCCTGGGACCTAGTGGGCACTCAACAAATAAGGTCCCCAACAAAGGTCTCAGAAGGGGACAGTTACAACCCCCCTGTGAGGTCAGCGGTTAAAAGTCACCAGGCAGGGGATGGAAGGGCATTGGATGGGAGCCGGCCCCTCCCTCTGCCTCTTCCCTAAGTGAATCCCAGGGACTGCTCTCAGCCCTCCCCCCTCCTCCTCCTCGGGTTAGGGCCCTGGCTGGCGCTCCGATCTGCCCTTCTGTCTTGACTCAGATCAGCTGGGTCTGGGCAGCTCTTCCTACCCACTGCCCACTCACACCCAAAGGCCCAGCCCCGCAGCCCACCTGGATCAGTCCAGGACCATGATGCCTGGGCCCACATTTCCCTTATGTCCTGGGTTTCCCCAGCTGTCCCGAACCCTCAGGCCTTGCACATCTTCCTAAGGGTCTAAGAGGAACCCCAGGCGCTCCCATCATAAGGGAGAAGCTACAGATCAGGGTGGGGGAATGGTGTATAAGAGGCCACTGAGAGTAACGAGAGCTGGGACCAGAACTGGGGGAGATCCCCTCTGCCCTCTCTCCAGGTGGTAATGCAGCTCTCCCAGGCCCGTCTGCCATCATTTCCTGGGGGCCTCAGGGAAGGGTGCTGGGGATGCCAGGGCTGGACAGTCCCCACGGGTGGCGAGTCATCCTGCCACCCTGTGTTCCACTCCAGTAAGTCATAGGCTGAAGGCTCCCCAACCCAGGTCAGGGACCTGAACGTAACCTGGCCCAGCATCAAAAGGAAAAGCTCTGGACTGTGGCGTCACCTGCCAAAGAGACCCCAGAGGGGCTGATTTTTATATGCTGTATCTTAAAAAAAAAAAAAGAAAATAAAAGAAAAAAGAAAGACCTGAATTCCAGGCAGTAAACCTTGGGCTTTTCTGATGTGAGTGTTCACGGAAGAAGGAAGCAGAGGAAAGTCCGAGAGTTTGAAACATCTTACTGCAACTTGTATGAGTGAGAAGAGGTAGAGAGCTTTTCTGAGCGCGGCTTCCTTGGTGCTTTCAGTGTGACCCTGGGCAACCACTGGACCCACTCGCTCCCAACTTGTGCAGTTAGGGCCAGGGCTCCCACTTCTCTGTGCAATTGACTTTGTTAAGATCACTTTATCTAATGATCACTTGGCGACCGAACACCATGTGGGCTTCCCAAGGGGCACCATGGAATTTTAGAACCTGGGGCCTGAGGGATGCCACAGGTCACCAGTTTGTACCTCCAGCCAGCCCC